CCCCGAGGACTGGAGGAGCTGGTCTTTAAATAATAATGCTAAAAGGGTACACCTGGAGAGCTTAATCACACGAACAATTATGAGAGCAGTGGAGCACCCTCTAGGGAGGGATGTCGGGCGTGACACCAAGAACTTTGATGTCAAGCTAGTACTTCCTAAGAGACCATGGTTGTAGGGGTTAATTTCATGCTCTTAATGATATGTAAAATAAATCATAGATCTGATCTTTCCCCATTCAAGCAGGGATTCTCCACCTTGAATTTCCATACAAATAAAAACATTACACATTTTGGACAAATAATACAGTACATCTGCTTATTTTTCCTTTCGCTTTTGTGTATCAGCACACAGGCCATAGACACCACAGATGTGCATGTTTATTAGCGGCAGTTGTCTCTTCAAGCACACTGCAGCCGACTGTAAGTTTTTCCTGTACATCTGGAGAGAAGATAAATGATGTTACACCAACTCCTGTACTTAGGGCCATTCATCACGTCCAGCCCCAAGCTGTAAAGCTTACAGGAAGCCAAAGAAAACCCTGCTTCACTCCGACTTCATCACAATCATGCTGAAAGAAAACTGAGCCGGAGGAGAGCCAAGTGAAGCGATTCTTCAAGTCTTTAGGTTTTAGAGGAGATTACAGTGATGCCTAGCTGACAAGACCTATGTGTAAAACTGAAAACTCATAATCCTGCATATTGAAGAGATGAAAGAAACTCATTCTCCTAGAGTCCTCGGATGTGTATTTTGTTTTTGGTTTCCAGTTTACGCAAGCCTCTTGTTAATTATAATGGTCATTTCTCACTTGCTTAATTGGAACAATCTGACATCTCATAAATGGGAAGGAACATCAATGTGTATATTGTCCCTAATTAATTTCGTTTCCCTTCTAGTTAATTGAATCTGAATGCCGTAATCGTAAAAATCATTGTTTGCAGCTCCTGACCCAGAAATCTGTTTCCAGCTTCCTTCTGCTCGCCACAGATGTTATGATTAAGATAAGGAGGCTGTACGAAAGCAAACGGCTGATGTAATCTTCTCAGTTTTCAATTTTGTCAATGTGGATTTGGTCATTGTAAATTGATTTAATGCTAGGACCGTGGTACTAGCACAGGATGAGTAAGGACTGTGCACACTTGCACTGCTTTTTCCGCTGTGATATCTATTGCACCCACGGCAGTCATGATATTTGTTGGAGGAGTGATGTAGCTCTCTCTGAGAGCCCTATAATACTTACCGCCACAAGGGATGCTGAGGCACAGCATGTAGAGGACACCTACTGTACATGACAGCCAGGATGTGGACCAGATGTGTCTGGACTATAGGTCTCACTGGCCGTTTACATTGTCTCCTTTGCGCACTTGCTCCAGGGACTTTATTGTTGGGTTCAGTTCAATTATACTGGCAGCTTTTGTGTCTTTTAGAAGAATGTGTTGTGGTTTTATAGTTGATTAAATCACAAGAAATGCTTCTCTGTGGCTTTTGCTTCAAAGAAGATTAGAAAAGCCTTGATCTGGAAAATGGACAACATTCCCTCAGATTGCTAATGAGCTATTCCAACACGTGTTAAGATTGAATTTTTGTAGTCGAAGATGTAAATTTTGATCTCTCGCATCCTGCTTGCATTGCTTATGCTGAATGTCTTCCAAATTCTTTTCTTGTTTGATCACACAGACCGCAGTAAAAGCAGGCAGCTGATTACAGCAGGGAGTCCCTTTTTCCAGAAGCAAGCACAATCTTACCTGCTCTGCTCCTTTCTGCACCTTTGCGCTTTGCTAACACCAGGTCATTATAAGCAAGAGTTTTATATGGCTCCAAAAGTCTCAGGCGCATGTAAGGAATATTCTTTGGTGT